ATGAAGGCCTGTAATCTATCAAAGCCACCAAACTGTCATTGTGCACGCAATGAAACCAGCTATGTCCTGATACAACCGCAGCAGTGCTGAGCCAGAGATGGACTGTGTACCAATGGTTACTTCCATGGTTTTTCTTATTCTTCTTCACTTTATAGTGTTTGTTCAGCAAACTACAATAGCAAACTATGTTGTTTTGTTTCTCACACTGTAATTTGAGATAATAGATACAGCATAGCAAAATCCATTACATTTCCTATTCTATTCACTTCAATTTGGATAAATTGGGTAGGAGTTACTAACTCCTACCCAAATTGATTTCCTCAAACTAATTAAGTCCTCGTCTCCTCCACACTTGGATTTAATAAAAGAGTGGCCTCACCAGAAAAATGACAGCGTTGCTGCTTGTTCAAACGCTTGGTGGTGGTCATACAGCTAATAAGTTTTGTCTTTCGGGTGGCAAAGTCGGAAGCAGTGTGATGTTATACCACTATAGTTTATACCACTGGGAGGGCACGGTGGATAATAGGATATAAGAAACATGTTGTTTAGACAGGAGAGACCGTGTCTCATGTCTCAAATATCATCACTTAGCAGTCATGTCAGTTTCTTTTAGCCGCAGAGGTGATTCCGAAGATGCACACAACCTGTTTTTGGAATAATCATAAGGGTTGTTTTAAATGGTACAAACATGGAGCTGGATTTTCATTTTAAATATTAGAACTCCTCTCTCATTTCAGGATAACATACTGTTTAATGAAGAAAAAAGATGATATTGGGGATGGTGTCCAGATCATCATGAAAATCTTAGCTCAGAGGATATGGAGCTGTGCCCTCCTCTAGTGAAGAGGAAGGATGGAGACAAAGTAGCAGAGAACAACAAGCTGCTATGTGTTTCCCAGGCAGCTGTGCTTGTTAATTAGTCAAACACATTCTTTGCTTTAATTGTCGCATTTCTGAGATATTGAATGGGTGAGACTGTCCTCCTGTAAAAAATGACTCATTTGTGCCAGTAGGTTATTGCAACCTACAATTACGTATTATATATAGTTCGACGGAAGCACTTAGATAAAACAACATATAGAGCCACTAAGTTAAAATTAAGAGGGCTGAGGTGGGTGGCGGTACATAAAATACTGGACTGTCCCCAAAGAGAGTGGGGTTTGATTCCAATGTGAAATGTGTCTTTTTCTCCTTACTGAATAGTTTGTGTGACCAAACATAATGAAACCATGATGGCTCCAAAATCTTAACGGCATGTTTATGACAGTTTCCATGCTGACAGAGTTCAGGAATGGTGGCCATCGTACTACTTTGTGTCTGTTTCCATGATGATGGAAGTCGATAAAGTCTGACGGTAAGGTGTATGTTGTCCATAATGGTGGTGGAGCTCCGATAAAGAGCCGAAGTAAAACCGGAACTTCCGGGTTATGCTCTGGAAGAAAGAAAGCTCCATTCAAAATCCCACTGAGATTTCTAAACTGGATAATAACAAAAAACCAGCCGTGGAACACAGCCGTTTTCAATAATACCTTGTGAGTTTCACTACATTTACTTAATTTATAATGATATAAAGTCTCTTTAAAACAATGTATTATTGACATTAACGTAATATTTATGTTTTTACCAGCCTATAATGAAACCAGAAGCCTGAGCCTGTCATGGCTGAAACATCACAGATGCCTGTTGATTGGCAGGAAAACTGAACTGAGGCCGCGAGGTGAGAGACAACTGGAATTAATACACATCTTATGTTTTTACAACTTAAAAAGTTGAGAGAGGTGAGACTAGTATCAGAAACACACAGTTAACATTGTGCTACCTGGACCGCTGAAGTCCAGAAGAGTCTAGAAAATAACAGGAGCACTATTTCAGGAGATGCTCCTATGGGTTATATGAGAGGGAAGGGACAAATGACCATATGGGTCATACAAGCTGGAGGACCTGTTGGAATGGGTATTAAGCATATTTTTAGAAGTCATTCTGACTAAAGCTGATTTTTAGATCAATAACTGGCTTCAATAACTTGCACCCCAAACTGTTTTCATAACAATCTAATACATCCTGGTCTCAGTATATTTCCCTGGTTTGAAGTGTTTCCTTTATTTTGTAATTTGTCTGCACCAGAAGAGCAGGTATTTCTGCTAAATACATCCCATCAGTAATTTTACTAAGCTTCGGTGCCTTTGCTCAATCCCAAAGAACAAAAAAGCAGCAATGAGAAAAAGACGAATTATCACCTCAGTTTCTCAGGAACACAATATGTGAGGAATTTGAAGACATGGTCACGAATCAACAAGAATGAACAGCAGGGCACGTGCTGATTCTCTCAGAGACAAATGGACTGGAAATGAAGACAATATACAAAGGACACTGTCTTCTAAAGCAGCAGTTAGCTCCAGGTTTACTGGTGCTGTAGTCTGAAGGATGCTGCTCTGATTCATTCTTCTAAATTAAAGACAGTTAAGATTATTTCACATGTTTATAATGTAGTTGCTGGTCCTAAAGACTGATTTGCTGCTCATCAGTAAACAAAGCGAACAAGTAAAAGTTTATTCATCAGTGCCCAACCATCCATTCTCTGTACGACTTTTTCCTCAATAGGGTCGCCAGGGGGGGCTCGGGCTAATCCCAGCTGACACTGGGTGAGAGTCAGGGTCCACCCTGGACAGGGCGCCAGTCTATCTAGACAAACAACCACACATTTAGAGTCACCAGTCAACCTAACCTGCATGTCGTTGAACTGTGGGAGGAAGCCAGAGTACCTAGAGAGAACATGCCTACTCCACACAGAAAGGCACCGGGTCGGCCTGGGCTCAAACATGAGACCTTCTTGCTGTGAGGCGACAGCGCTAACCACCACACCGCTGTGCTGCCTGCGCATCAGTGTCAGAGACGCTTAACTGATCAACACCAATCCAAAGGTTTATAACAGGCAAACGCATACTCTTCTCTTTTATGTACCTAACTGTGCATATGCAAATGAGTTTTTATTCCAAGTGCATCTCTTTTCTTAGTTTGGTCTGTACAGATTGATCTCATCTTGATGCTTCCCTCTCAGACCAGATCAACCCCTTCTCTGTCACTCACTCATTTTATTTCCCATTAGTAAATAAATATAAAGAGTGAGAGAACTGATAACAGGTGGTATAGAGGCTAATATTCATGGATATGAGTACAGGTGTGGCTTTGACATTAAAACTTTGAATGAGTGAATCAGGAACAGCCCACAGACTGGTTCCGTCTAAAATCCTTGTGAATGAGCCAGAACATTTTCAGCTCATTATATTTGCACATCTGTGCTAAATTGACATTTTTTCCATGTACTTCCTACTCATTTGTTGCACTTACATGCTGGATTGTCAGGTGTGTATATTTATACAACCCCACAGTAATTTATGCTCCGTTGAACTGTTTTGTCTTTATTGGTTTTATTGTCTACTATTGTTCCCATTACTTTTTCTGCTGCAACAACTTAATTTCCCCATAGGGATCAATACATTTTCATGTTACCTTCATTTCAAATATACACAGTCATCATTGAGAAAATGAGAATTCATCTCTCCGCCTGCCAAATAAACCCAAGAGTCAAACCTCCAGGCCTGTTAAAAACTTCCTCATAGAGTTGAGAAAACAAATTGTCTCCTTTACGCTCCAGAGCAAGTTTTTTGTGTGTATTTTTAACCTGTCAGCAGTGATGAAGTATGCTAATATTCTTACTTTACAGTGTATGATGAAACTATAATAAACACCGTATGGGTGATGATGGATGTTTTGTTGCAAGTTAAGACTCGCAGGCTGGTTTTCCCTTTTCCTCTTTCTGGCAGCCTGTGATGGAGGATTTTTGTGCTTCTGCCTCTCTCTCCCTCTTACAACAGAGGTTCAATTGGCCATAATTGGCTCCTGTTTGCAGCTAGGTATTGATCGGTTCGATAGACCCTCCACTCCAGGCCTACCTTCCTCCACCCTCCCAACTTCTCTCTCATTCTCCTTACTTGCGCCCTCCCCTCTTTTCTGTTCCTGTCTAAGACCATGCTGCTGCCACTTTGATAAGTGTGGTGAATGGCGTGCCGTCATCGGTGCACACTAACTCTTGAATCAATAGGCGAGTGCAGTCTATTTACCACAGAGATGGTGGAGAATAGCAATGTTAAGAGATGAAAACCAGGAGGGAGCGAGGCTGAGAGAGAGGTGGCAGGGACACCATGGGCAAGAGTGCTGTTATATCTTTTTTGTTGAGATGCAGCTGACTTTCTTTGTTTGTTACTTTGTTTTGTATTGATGCACACAAGTGCAACTATAAAGGATGTGCTCCATAGAGTTACTAACAAACTGAAAAAATTAATAAAAGGAACAAGAGGTTAATGGAATTTGGCTCTTCAGAAGGTCCAACATTTTAACTTCCAAAAATGAATCAGCTGCTCTAAATAAGCATCAAAATTTTCTAACAAACATTTAAAAAATGATAAATGCTAATACCAGTACGGATAAGGGGTGTCCACAAATGCACTGAAGGGAAACCTTACTCGTACAGCATAGAATGGAATTTTAGTGTTCTTACAGCTGTGTCACTAGTTTCACCACCAGCCAGGATGAACTGGTTTTTCCAGTTTGGTGTGGAGGAACTTGACAGACCTGCACATGGCCGTCCTCAAACCCTTCCAAAACCTCTGCAATCAACCGGAACCCCGACTGTGATTGAGACCTTTTCACCCAAAATCCATGTTCGACCCCACCAGAAAATCCCTGCAGCCAGGGTGCAAAATCTGGTCGAAAGTCTTACTCAGCAGAGCGGAGCCTGTTACAGCAGAAAATTAATGCCTATTTTTGATTGGCATGCCCAAAAGTCACAGATGGGTCTAATATTCTGGTTTCCACATATTTCTGGGTATGCAGTATATGGTGATTCTCATTCTATTATAAAAATATTGTGTATACAGACTCATATTATAACCAGAAACCTTTATTTATATTGTGAAAAGAGAAATGAATACTGTACTCACATCTGCGACCCCAGCCTCCAGGATGCTGAGCTTGGCCTCCTTCTCCAGAGCCGCTTTCTGCTCAACTACAACATGAAATGAATAGAGAGAAAACAGCAATCATCAGTGAACTGATGTCAAATAGACAATCTTTTAGGTTTTAAAGAAAATAATAAGGGATATTTTGTCAGCCTGCTTCTATAGGAACAGACAGTCTCAAATCCAAACTCACTTGTGATATATGGAGCCAGATTAGGTCACTAATCTATACAGACCAAAACAGACATTCAATAGAATAAACATCAACTGTCCAACACAACAGAAATCTACATTGCAGTAATCTTCATCTTTTATCACACAGTTTGAACATTTGGACAAATGTTAAAATCTGATTAGTCCCCAGTGTTCATCATAATGTGCAGTATGCGTCCGTGTGCACAGTAGCTGCCATTAATCAATGGTGCACATTCCATCAAACCGGCTTTTAAACTCTGTGCTCGACTGATTCACAGAAAATCAATTCTTCTGCCCTCCTCCTGAGCTTTAGACACACAACATATACACAGCAGGACCAGAGCCTCATTCATTCAAACAGCTCCGACATTCAGTTTGGTGAAATGCACAGATGAATGAAGAGCACGTGGAATCTAACATTTTCCACCATCACTGGACTATCATCAATACAGACAACCTGTTTTTGGGGATAGGTGCTGTAGGTATGAGGACTTAGGAAACACCTGCCAGATCTGTGGCCAAGTAAGTAAAGTAAAAAAAAAAAAGACATGCTGTCCTTGTGTCCAGCAGGCAGGAGTTCAGTCATACCGTACAGCTGGCGAACCGTCATACCGACTGGGTGGGTTATATACTGTTCATTGAGCTTTGGTGAAAGGTCAGTAAAGACAGTCTTTCCTTTCATGTTTTCCCCTGTTGATACTATAGATACCATAGTATCACAGTATCTTTAACTCCAATATTTCTGAATCCACTTCTCTACAACTATCCATTAAACTAAGCTGAGTGCCTGCCTTGCACTAAGATCTGTATTTCAGCAAACATGTGGTGACATCATTGAGGTTGCCATGTGAGTTCTTCCCAGGCAAACATCACCTAAATTAGGCCAACACCACCTCCACAGGGCTCAACAATAAATTCTACCATTCCAGAACCAAATGAGCTATTACTGAAGCACATCTTCCCTTTATGAAATATGAATTTTAACCTGACCTGCCGCCAGGCAAATATTACAACACATTTTCTCACAAATAGAATTAAAGCCTGCACTGAGCTCTCTTTTTTCATCACCTTAAAGGGAAACAAATGGAGGGCTACAATTCAAATTCATGGTGGAGCATATATTAAAGCCAGAACAAAATGTTATGAAAAAAAGGTACATAATTACATTCACTTTGCTTTGCATCTGAATACACCGGTGTGGAGACAGAGAGCGAGTCTCCTTTGTTGACACACCAGGCAGATGAAGGATATGCAAATAGTCAGCCTTGACTCTGCCACAGTCCTCCAGATTCAGCAACTGCTTTTAGTCTTTCACTCTGTCAGGGCATCATTTTCCAGTCGATTTATGCCATGTGTTGTGTAATCACAGATCTTAAACACTGTTGTCTAAATGAGTAGCTCTTTACAATGTAGAACACCACACCATTCACCAGTGGGCACAGAAATACTGTTAGCAGTTGCATCTCTCTAACACCTAAAATTAACAACCCTTAAGGTTCATATGTGAGTCATGTCTTGATTATTGTGTGGTGCCTTTTAAGTGCGTCTGATTGTAGGTATTCGTTTAGCATGAAAAACAGACTCATCTAGGTCAACTGTGATAAACCCACAGTGTAATGTAACTGTAGGGGCCGACTAGTCGATTCCCAGACAGAGATGTATGAACGCCCTATTGCCAGTAGTCAAGTGGGCGACATCTCTTAATAGCGCAGCTAACGGGCAGCAGCCGCAGGCTCAGCCCCTTCAGAGAAAAATACAAGCTGAGGCGTCTGGATTGGTTTGTCTGGTTTGTTCTTCTCTTCACCAAAGAGCCTCTCAACAGACTTCTGGTTCAGTGGTACATATGTTTAATAGGGATATCTGTGACCTCTGGTTTGGGTTCCCTCCAAATTCGTCAGCCATCGCACGTTTTCAATCATCTTTTGGAAGCTGCATTAACTGATTTGCCTTTTCTTGCAATAACATGACTTAACAGGTTTTAAAGGCTGTAGTTACAGTCGAATGGAAATTTAAATATATTTACAAAATACTCCAATACTCCTGTTTTCATTTTATCACTGTGGATTATTGTGTGTGTATTGATGAGATAAAAATGAACTGAATCTGTTTTAAGATGAGTCTGAAACATAAAGTGTGGAAAACCTGAAAGGGTCAGAATAGTTTTTGTACCAACTGTACATGAACTGGACCTTTTTTAGCTGCACTTTCTCGTGGTTACTTGATGTGAATGGATCCTTGCTAAATTAATATAACTCTATGTGCTTATCTTTAATTGATTATTATTGAACAAGACCAATTATACTCATTACACTGCCCAAAATTACAAGGAGGAGACTCTTCGATGCTGCACAGAAAAAGCTCATAATCTACTGTACCATGATCCAGAGCTAGGGAAGATTTGGCTTAGTGTCCAGACACACCAGACAGCACCACAGTGAAACAGCTGGCCACGTGGTGGCATAATGTCTACCTGCTGGTTGTTCAATGGCTGATGTACCATTAATTGTGGCTAGTTTAGTGAATTTAATTTGGTCCTGCTGGTGATTGATTCCATTGAAATGATTTCCATCCAAAACACTGATGTTATACAGCATATGCTGGCGTGGAGGAGCCCTTAGTCTGGCAGTAAAATATTGTCACAGGAAACACTGCAATGGACCACTGTATGTGTCTCAACAAGCAAACAACCACAACTGCCAGTCTTTTTGCTTTTAGGTCAAGAAGTTTTAATAGTTTCAAGTTGATGTCATGCTGCTGGCCAAAAGTGCAGCTTTAGCCAAATATATCTCAATGTGAAAAGTTTGTTTTCCAGCCTCCAGAGCAATAAACTCTGTCCTCTAGATGGAAACAATATTTAACTTACTTTCATTTTACAGAAAAAAGTCTGTTGCATTTGTTTCAGTCTCATGCTGTTAATTCTTTTGTTAGTGCCATTTCTTTGCAGCTATTGTCACTTGGAAAGAAATGTAGGATGTAGGAGTGCCAATGCATCGATTTCCCCAAAAATTCAAGGATTAAATAAATTTAAATGAAACCCAGTCAGCGATGGTAAACTGCAGGCAACTCTGGGACCAGCCTCAGTGTAACAACTAAAGACTTTGTCTCAAGAGCCTTTGGTAATTGGTGAAGCACAACCTATTTGAGTTGCATCTGCAAGAGAGCCTAATTGACAGACTCACTCACACACACACACACACACGCACACAAACACCTACACACAGACACACACTCATGATACAGAAGCAGAGTCAAAATCCTGATATACCCAAACGGACTTGAAAGCATTCAACACGGTTTTCACTGGGAGGGAATCAGAAAACTCCACAGCAACATCAGCCAGCGAGTGTGAGTACATCACAGGCAGCGAGCTCCCTTTAATTAGCCAACGTGTCTTTGGACTTCCAAACACCGTGGCACTGCGGCCTCTCCGAAAAGTAGCCAAGAGCTCTCCAGACCATCCAGTCCTCTGCTCTCCTGCAGACTACAAATGAGTCCAAGTCAGATGAGAGCACTGCTTCTGAACAGGCAGGCTGAGGTGCCTCATTTGTACCCCAGCGAGCTTTCTCTCCAAAACCCAAATTGGATAAATTTTTAAGACGCTGCAATGGGCTGTGTGTCGTGATCAGACCGACAGGCGACTTTTCTTTTAGCCTGACTGGCAGCGCAGTGTGAAAATAAGCCATAATGTGACAAAATGGGAATGAAGCAGCGATGGACCGCAGAGAGAGAGCGAGGTGAAGGGAAATGATCTATACCCAGATTATTCTCTTTTTCCCATTTCCAGAATATTCCATCTTCCATTGTTCCATTTGGGCTGCGGGGGAAAAATTGGGCCTGAAGAAAATAACGAGGACCAAATCTCATTTCTACAAAAGGGGCCCCTTTATTTTCCCTCCAAAACACATGGAGACGCTTCATTTGTCACCCGGGCCGCCCCTGTCGTGAATTTTGCTTTATGTTAACTCAAAGTATCTGAGGCGCCTCGAGGGAAACACAGCAAGTGCCAGGGATTCAGAAATGCTTCATTTTTCACTGTTGACAAAAGGGAAAGGCCCAGGCTGGCTCCACGAGTCCTGGACCAACAGAATAGATGCTTTTGCAGCACCGAGGGGTCGTTATTTCAACCACTAACCACCCCCACCCACCGAACGTCCATACCACTCACTCACCCTCCCGAGTACATTTCAGGAGTTGTATAATGAGAAGAAAACAACAGCCATCCTTCAAAACCAAAGGCAGGGAGAGCAGCGCAGCGCCATCACCGCAGTGACACACTACAGGGAAGTAATCACATTAGTCGATCAAGAGAGCGATGATCCCTGGGCAAATTAAAATATATCGCCGGCTGTGTTTTGTGTCCTTTCAAGATCTGGTCCAGTGCTCCCAACCATCACTGACGGTCTTGCAGATAATAAAAAAAGCCAACAGGAAAAAACACTGTTGCAGCTACAAAAGAAAATCTAAATGAAAAAGGTATATTGCAGATCAAAAATCCAGGAGAGGTCTTACTTGCCTTTTTTCCAGACACTGAAACAAAACTAAATTTGCGTAACTGTCAGTGTTACAGCAAAGTTAAACCAACTTAACATGAGCACAAATCTTTAATCTAAAAAAAACAGATCTGGAGTATTGAATGTTAACGTACATGTTCAAAAGAATGGAATAACGGCACCTCTGTAATAGTCTGTAAGTTCACTGTAGACAAAATAATGTGAACACCTCTTAGAACACCCATCGCTACAAAGCTGTGTCATACTGAGTGTCACAATCTTTAATGTCTATCTGTCCTGGATCAGCTTATTCATCAGTGCACAGATGAATAAAATAATCCGGGACCGACACCTGACAGACA